AGCAATTGAACCAGAAGGCCTTCGCACCAGCAGACCGACTTGAACCCAAAATTGCAGTACTAGCTTAGACCAAAAGTACAGTTTAAATGAGCGTGATCTATTTGCGGTCGTGTTCTTCCATGCCCCAAAATCAATAAATGTTCATATGTATAGATGATATCCTCAGTGGAGTGACAAAACAAGCTTCGATGAGCATCAAAACAATGGGGATGCACACCAAATAATTGTCCGACAGTAGGGCAAGCTTGCCTCTCTAGCTGAAATTGGGACCAAGTTGGACTGTCTTGATTATCAGGCCAATCAGAATTTCAAAAATGGGCTTTTCACTACTCCTGCAGGAGTGGTTGAGTGGTTAAATGTTTGATTCGGATACGGCATATTCTATATTCGAATCAAAATACTTTCCACTCAAAATGACCTTGGGGCTCGTGTCCATCACTTTTTTTTTTTTGATCGAATAAACCTCATTTCATTTCAACTAGCTAAAGTAGGATAACAACCCAACGGGGCTTCTGAACATAGAACATCCAACAAAAGTTGGGGAGGGCTAGAGGTCTAGTTCAGAGGGAGGGACTGACGGAGTTGGGCTTTGGCGACCCAATCCTCAGTTTTATTTTGCCCTCTGAAACAGCGAGTTAAATTTGGCAAAGAAGAGAGTGCGGCCCGGCCGTTCTTGATAAGTGCAGTGACTTCCCACGGTTCTTGATCTGCTCCCAGAAGTGTCTGAACTAAAAGTGAGACAGTCAGACTACACAGTTAACACACGTGTGCCCTTTTCCTTCTCCCCCACTCGGCTGCGAACTTCAAACCCTCAATTACTGCTAGGGTTTTAGCATGCAGCGCTGATTGCGCCTTCACCTCTCGGGCGGCGAACCCACCCATCAACACTCCGGAGGCGTCTCTGCACACTCCGGCGATCGCTCCAGTAGAAGTTCCGGCAACGAAGGCGCCATCAACGTTGATTTTAAGCGAACCCAAAGCTGGCGGAATCCATTTGAAGGTTGAGTTTTGATTTTCTGCTGAGTTAACCTTGTGATTCGAGCACCAAGATTTAAAATTTTCATGCTTTACAAGTGTTTCGGACACAACTCCTTGTGGATCTGGCATTTTAGCTCGGAAAATGGCTGCGCTCCTCTCTTTCCAAATGAACCAGAGCACTTCAGCCACTACCTCGAGGTTGGGTGTATCACGTAAGTCACTCTTATAGTTTAGAAGCCATCGATCTATGCTGGTGAGTCCTTCTCTCTGTATCCGTATGCGTAGATTTTGGTCTGACCATACTTCAGTTGTCCAGGGACAGAGTAGGAGCAAGTGTTTTGCTGTTTCTGGGCTCGTTCTGCACAAAGGGCACATCGGGTCAGGTAAAGCTCTTCGTCTGAATAAATTTTCCTTTGTAGGGAGTGCATTTTGGCATAGATTGCACATGAAAATTCTGATTTTGGGTAGGGTCTGCAAATTCCACACTTTGCACCACAAAGTTCTAGGCTTTTGGTAAGAGGACGATGCTTGTTTCTGAGTTAAGTCCTTGTCCCCTTCCCTGAGTAGATTATACTCACTTTTGACTGAATTGGTTCCAGACTTTGCTGCTGTCCATACTATTCTGTCTTCCTCTCATGTGGATGGGATGGGGATTGCCAGTATTTCACAAGCGATTCTATCTTCAAACTTGTTTTGGATTTTTTCTTCCTTCCATGAGTAGTTGTGTTTGTCTATCAACTCGGTAACAAGCTGAGGATCCTCTCGATTAGTAGGTCCTGTAATTATGCCCTGCTTCAACCATTTATCTTCACGGATTCTAATTGATTCTCCATTGCCTACTGACCATTGAACTGAGTCTGATATTACATCCCTTCCAATTAGTAAACTTTGCCATCCCCACGATGCTTGGTGCCCCCTCCTTGCATGCCAGAAGTCTGTGTTAGGAAAATAGAGTCCTTTAAAAAGCCGAATCCACAGCGTAGATGTTTTTTCTATCATTCTCCACGCTTGCTTACCCAATATTGCCCTATTGAAAGTGATAAGGTTTTCGTGTCCATCACTTAAATGCACATGAATAAGGCTGTTTGTGTGCATTCGTGGGGATATATTGAGCCGAAAGTCCAAATATTCAATGTTAACCCAAAAAAGAAAAGGATTTCCACTGTCAAATGTTAAGCTTGTGGGAAGGATTCAGGAGAGTGGATGGAACAAAACAAAGACCAAACAACAACATAGCGACAGATGAAGTGGAAAATAGAAGGAAGCCTCACAAGATTGGTTTTCGAAAAGGGAGTGATCTCATTCTCCTATTCATTTTATTTTTAAACCTCTGTGTTTGTGTGGCTTCACAGAGACTTTGTTCCTTAGGATCCCTTCAAGATCTCCTTGGAACAGCCCACATGCACTCCATATGCTACTGCAGATTTGAAAACATAAGTGATGGAAGGTAAAAAGAGAAAAGAGAAAAAACAAGGATAAAACGATATCAAGTCTATGGTCTCCATATGTTGCGATATTAACTAACGCGGAAGCTAACCCAGGATCTTACAAATTATATCAACGCGAAAATCTCTGGAGAAATAACGATGAGCTATAAAAGGACGCTCAAGATTTGTGTGGTTCGGTCCGACGTATTGGTACCTATATCTACGAGGATAGTCAACATCACATAATTCACTATAATCGGAAAATCCAAGTTTATAATTACTCACACGCTCGAGTGTTTTCTGCACCTAAATTAAGTCCGTAACCCCAAATGCTTATAAATAAACGGATAAAATAAACTCACAGCACAACATCCACGTGCTTAGAGCTGCCTCATTCTCCACCCACACGAGATCCTCCTTCTGAGGCTTCTCGGTTTTCCTCGTGCGGCGTCCGAGGAAAGAGCACGAAGAAAAACCCTCCCGGCGGCCACAGTGTGCCCTTCTCGAGCCCACCACCTAAACTAATATATAATAAAACAAACAAGCGAGCCCTCTTCTTTTGTCATTTAGTGGCTTTCTTTTGTCCAACGTCCTCTCTCTGGTCACATAGTCAAACTTGGCTAAGAGAAGTAACTAGTGCATATTTTGTGCTAAATCTTGGACATTTATCCAATGGGAACGAGTTTCGTAAACGGCTCAAAACTCGAGATATAATTTAACACCATACGTCCTATTCTCTTGAACCCAAAAATCAGCAACTCAAAAGTTTTTCCTCAAAATTGCAGACTGCTAAGTTGCACTTGCAGCTCGTGTTGTGTTCTTTTGTCCTTTGTTTGAGCACAGCTTCTATGTTTCCGGATACCATATCCACTGTAGATGCAACTGCATTATTTGACTCCGCTATGGCCACCTTTAGTTTTAGCCTCACCATAAGCAGGTCCCAGTTTCTTCTCTCTTTCTTGTTTCTTGGAACACAACCTTTCAGAGGCAGAGCACATTGTTTGGTTTAATTAGTTTGTCACAATGAATCTGTGAGTGACAACTGGAATGAATGGATAGCATGCAGAGGTAGGACTCACCGGTTCAGCTCTGAGGATTTGAATCAATTCCATCACGGACATTCCAGGCTAAGCTTATTGAATGTTAAAATGGTCTTGCTTGCAATTCCATGCATGTTTCTTACAATTTCGATCTGATTGGAGACACGGAAAATGAATGGGCGCGCTCTTATACATTTCTTGTGCTTTTAGTATAGTTTGCGCCCGCTATACAACGGCTTTTTGGCTCCGCCCTTCAACTAACATGATAGCTTCAGTTGATCATGCCTTGTGGTCGTATATTGCATGAAACTAACTAATAGCTTATATAAGACAGTCTCGGGTACATATTTTACATTTCCATACACAGAGAGAGAGCGAGAGTGAGAGAGAGGGGTATTATTTGGGACATTATCGTTCTGACACAAGAAACGTGTAGTTCAGTGATCACGGTTTCTCTGAAAATGAGCCATGTTTTTGCAACGGCGCAAGCAGCCCCGGGTGCTTTTGTCATGTCCAAGGCTGTCTCTCCAAACACATCATATCAGAATCCAACTCAGAAACCTTGCATCCTGAAACCAAAACCAGCTTAATCATGACCAGCCGTCGTACGCGGTCGATAAAATCAATCACAGCGTAAGACACGGAACTTCCACAATTCTAAGATACTTGATTGTACCAAACAAATTTCATCCTATATAAAGGCCTGTTAATTGTCACGTCACCTGATATGCCGAATTTGTGAACGTAATTTTAATTTATCTAATAGAGTAATTATGATATACACCATCGGCTTAAAAATCTTCACACAAGTGGCCCAATTCACCATTAGCTAGAGAGAACGGGTAGTTATAATCCTCGAAGAGTGGATTAGGCTGCTCATGTGAAATTTTCTTTTGCATTGGCAGTGTATATACTATTTTCCCTCATCCGAATAGATTAATTATAGTATGCACCGCCAATGTAAAAGGAGAAAAAAATTCACTTGAGCGGCCGAATCAACCGTTGCTCCCTTCATCCTCCACTGGACAGAAAGAGGTATCTTCATATCAAAATCGATTATAAACATATTTCTTAACTTATATTTGATGAACTGAGTTGTTATGTCAGTAAATGGTTGTAAATGGGTTTAGAATAATAAAGCCTAAAAAAATATGAGTATTAAATGGATCCACAACTTACTTAGACCCAACCTATTTTTATAACTCTTTTTTCACTCGATCTTGCGTTCACTCGCTCCATACTCTTATATCGGTTTAGGTATAAGTTTTTCTAGATTGAGTTAAATATGCAAGCGTTTTAGCAATATGGGTCGGGGTCGTGGCCGGGGTCATTAGATTTGTATTGCATGGAAATGGGTCAATTTGGGCCGGACCATTTTCGAACCGACCCAATCGTTTGACGGGTTTGCCTGATGCCAATCCACTTTTGATAGCTACAGCCCATTGGACAGGACAGGCTTTTGGGCTTAGCCTTGTATCCCCCAAACTCATTGGCTGATGGGCTTTAAAGGAACCATTTTTTTCAATCCGTTGGTACTACCACCGACGCTTCCATACTACCGAAAATCCCGTCTCGTCTCCGTCGCGACCCCGAGAAGAAGCAGAGAACTCCGACTTCCCATCACGGCGGCAGCCATGTCGATGGCGACCCATCTCCCCAGATTGGCCTCCGTCGCTCTCGCCTCTCCCCACAAGACCCTCTCCGCCTCCCTCGCCTCCCCTCGCTCCGTTCGCCTCCCGGTCAACGGCGGTCGGGCTCCGGCGGCATCGGCCTCCTCCTCCGGCGGCTCGGGAGCGCGGCGGCGGGCTTCGGTTCAAGCGGCGTCTTCCGAACCGTCTTCTCCGTCTCCCTCGTCTTCGTCTTCGTCTTCGTTCGGGTCGCGGCTCGAGGACGCCGTGAGGAAGACCGTGGCCGAGAACCCCGTCGTGGTTTACTCCAAGACTTGGTGCTCGTGAGTTTCGATTTTCCTTGCCCGTGATCGTGATTCCTGTGGGTTTGTGAATTCTTTGAGAGAGAGAGAGAGAGAGAGATGGGCTTCGAGTGGTGAATTCGAAATTTAAGAATCTTTTGTTCTTGGGTTGCCTTGAAGGTACTCGTCCGAGGTGAAATCTCTGTTCAAGAAGCTCGGTGTGGATCCTCTGGTGATTGAATTGGATGAATTAGGTTCGTCAGCTTTGCCCTTTTCTTCCTTCAACTTCGTGTCTTGGTTTTAGTGCAGAGTTGCTATTTTCGTTATGTGCGCCGGTCTCTTCGATGTTGCGGATGGTAATTGTTTCTAAATTCCCTTTGAGAAGAGAATAGAAACTAGATGTTCTCATGGAGTTGGAGGTGAGAGACATCATGGGAGGCTGTTGACATGCCATTCTAGTCAACAAAAAAAGTCACAACATGGTGCTGGAAAAATTAGATATACTTCTCTCCAGGAGCCCTTTGAAATTGAGCCAAGAAAAATTGTACTCTTAACTAGTTCAGGCTTATGAGCAAGAAAAAGGAATAGTTCAGGCTTACCGGGTGAGAGCTTACCAAGCATAGGTTAGGACTTTTTTGAATAACATATCATTATATTACCATAGTCATGGTGTAAGGGGAGTCTTGTTTTAATGGCTGCTTATATTTTCTGTGTTAGTCTAGGTATATGGAGGATACACATCCTTTCATACTTCCATTGGCATTTCTTTTGCTGCTTTGGCATTATCTTTTGTGATTTTTTGGTAAGCCAACCATCCATGCTGATCCTTGCATGAAGCAGGCGGTTCAGGTATATGCGTTTTACCCACACAACTGGTCTAGCTACCATGATATGCATTACATTCTTAGTTCTTGTATTTCGCATCCAACTTTCGATGCTTGTACGAAGTACACATTTCTCTTTGGTGGTCCCTATCAAAAGCAGTCCTTTTTCTTGGAGAAGTGTTCATCCTTCTGTGGCTGATCTAATTTTGCATGGGCCCAACACTATTTGATATCGTCAGGACCGCAGGGGCCACAACTGCAGAAGGTCTTGGAGAGGCTTACAGGGCAGCATACCGTCCCTAATGTTTTCATTGGTACGTAATGCTCCTCCGTCAACTTTGAAATAGTGCGACTCATTAAGTTTCCTTCAAAAGCAAGAAATTCAGTCTGGGAGAGCTCCTTGACTGAACCTGGGAATGCAGTCACTGGCTATTACAAAGGAAAATCACAACAGCTTTTCTGTAGACTTGGCAATATAACAGCAAATAAAAGAAGAATAGTCTGTCTCATTGTTTTTACCTTGAATGATGTGGAAAGATTTGACAGTTTCATGTCAATTTTAGATTTCCATCTTTTGTAGTTGGCAGCTAACCTGTTTGAAGTAGCCAAGACATGAATAAATATCTGCAAATATATATACATGTAATACTATGATTGGAGGAAAAAAAGGTATCTCTATATGGCATTGAACTTGTGAGCTTCAACAGATAGAACTTCGAGCATTGACAGTAATAAGTTTCTCATTACAGCAGTGGCGTAAATAAATTAGTAACTAGTTTGCTTAATTGTAGGTCAGGAGTGCCATTAAAAAAAATTCACAAATACTTTTGAGGAAAGATCATCCTTTCTATGTCTTGAATTCGTTGATTATCTTAATGATGTTATGATCTTCTTCTTCTTCTTCTTTGTTAACTTCTAGTCAGATAATTTCTATCTTCATGTGCAGGGGGCAAACATATCGGTGGCTGTACAGGTATAACCCTTTCTACCCCTTTGATTCCATTGTTCCATGATGGTGCCTGGAGATTAGTCTATTAACCATCTTCTTTACACCCATTAGTTCTGTCCTCTCTCTAATTTATGGTGATCTTCTTGTATTAATGCCTGTAAAACTTTTTGTTAGATGTTTTTTTTTTTTTGATAACCGAGGTGTCCGCGCGGCTTTTGTTAGATGTTATGAGCTGCCTTTTCATATAATTGTCTTTTTTCATCCTTCATTCTGTGGAAACTGCTTGGACATTAGTAATTTTTTAACATAGGATTTTGAGTCAGCAAAGGATGTCCTGAGTCTTTGGTTAACCATGAATAAGTTGATCGAATTCTATAGTATCTTTCATTGGTGAGGCAGAGTTCACTATCGATATGGCATTTAAATTTAGCAGGGGTTGATTTCTGTGTCATTTACTTGTGATGCAGATACCGTGAAATTACACCGCAACAGAGAACTTGAACCTCTGTTGTCAGAGGCTAATACTAAGAACTAGCCTGCTTGATTATTCTTTCTGGAGAGATCGACTCCTGGGGACAGACTATGAAAGACAATGCGACATTACTTCTCATCGACATCTGATTGTCTGTCATCAACTTTTGTAATCGAAATGTTTATCTTGTGGTGCTGAGGCTTGTCATTGCATACTGGATGCAAATCATCTGATTATGCCAGCTCCGAGACTCTTAACCAAGCGGTGAATGAGGGTTTTTGTGGGACCAGAGATGTTCTCCCAAGTAAATCAAAATATATGGTAAATCCTGAGACTGACTGTCCACGGACATTCTTCTTTGTTTATGTTCTTGTTGATTGAATTTTGCCAATAAACATCCTCGGCCGCAGCCAAATCGTGGGAGTGCTAGATAGCTGCGTTTACCTTGCTTTTGCTAGTTGCTACTCCATTTCTGGAACAGTATAGCCTCTATTTGTATGAATTGGTTATCTTGCAGTCCTCATTTTGCTGCGAAACTTTACCTTCCCTTAACCCCCCCTCTCCGCGTCATTTTGTCTGTGGGAAGTATCTGGCAAGATTCCGGCCGGCTGGTAGTTTGACCTCAAGCAATCACAATGGAGCCGCTGCATTGCGGCAATGGGCCACGGCTGTAGTAAGTAGAGCTCCGTCCCACCGGCAACTACACGGTCGAGATCGATTGATCGAGAGAGACGGGAGCAATGGCTTGACGTCGACTGAGTGATGGACCGATGAGGCACGACAAGGCGGTGAGGTTGGCCACGGCGGAGCTGAGGCCGAGAGAGGGGAGGGATAGAGTTGGGCAGTTAGGGGATTGTGTTAATTTTCTAAAGGGTGCGGGTAATTAGCTTAACAATTAGAGCCATTGAGGCTTCATAAAGAAAAATAGTAACATCACCAAATTCGGAGAAAATTTGATTTTCTTCTCTTCTTCACCTCTATGTATATGTATGTAGTCTTGTTGACCATATTTTAGTCTTCACGGCGAGAATCCTATAATCGTTCTCTTTTATTGGTGAATGATCCAAGGAAATTTCAACACATGCATTCGCTCAACGGCCTCCATTGGGATTGATAATCTTTTCCTTCAATTTTCTCTTGAAAATTCTAATTATTTCCCTTGATTTTCCTCGTAACTTAAGTGCCCAAAAGAAAAGAAATGCAATAACCTTTTCGTCAAATGGAAAAATAGATATAAATATGATGTCGTCGAGAACTGAACAAGAAAATATTGCATACTTGACAAGTGCCAAGTAGGTTGTACTCGACTTCATTTATCGATCGACATTCGACACGTGCACATATAGGGTCCATTCTTCGTATTTTTGAAATGCCGATTCTCCTTTTTATAATCTTGTCCGTTATTCTCTTTCTTCCTGTTACTCTCACTCTCTTCTTCTTCTTCTTCTTCTTCTTCATCTTCTCCTTCTTCCTTCTTCCAATAGCCATTGAACAACCGTCGTGTGATCGATCTCGCTCTCGACACCCTCATGGCCACACCAATTCCATCTCATGAGACTTGAGTGAGTAGCGAGCTGTTCGACATCAAAGGATGGCGCGGCGGCAAGGGCGACTTGTGGAGAATAGAGCAACGGAGAAGAGAGGGAAAGTAACGGAGAAGATTGTGCAATAGGAGAGGGGCATTGGAAAAAAAATACGAAGAACGGGCCCTATCCGTACACATGTCAATCAACCAACGCAGTCGAATATGGCTGGCTTACTTGGCACAAGCATGCAATATCTTCTCTCTCACAACAGGTTGCTACTATCGATACTAAAAAAGTTTCTAACTTTATACGTAATTAAAATCCCAAAATTTTCTTCTTCCTAACTTGGCATAAATTTATTATTTCCATTTTTTAAAATACATTTTTTCAGGGAGAAGTGGGGAAGCGTCGACAAGCGTGGCATCATGCCGGTCACACACGAACGGGGCCCCACCGCACGAACACACGCCTACCAAATTATTTTTGTTTTATTTCGGAAAAAAAAGAAGAGAAAAAACAGAAAACGGAAAATCACAGGGCGCGAAGAAAAACCGGAAAAAAAAAAAAACAGATTTCGCTCTGCAACTGCAAGTTCGCTTCGCGTGCGAAAGTGATGAAGGAGCTGAGAGAGTAGCCATGGCGGCCATGGCTTCTGTTTCTCTTCCCATCTACGGGCTTCCTGGCTCCCGCCTCTGGCCTCGTCACGTCGAATGCAGCTCCGGAGGCCCGCCTCCGCCGCCCTTCGCCGGAGCGCGCCACGTCCGACGCCCGTCCGACGCCGCCGCCTCCGCCGGGCGGCGTGCCCCGGGCCCCCGTTTCGTCACCTGCTCCGCCTCCAACAAGCCCTCCCCCTCCCCGACCTCATCCTCGTCCACCGAAGCCAGGCTAGTCATTTCACTCCTTTTGAATTATCGCGTTGTATGGGGTTTGCTTTCGCTTGCGTGGAGTTCGGTGATGTTTCTGGAGCTGGTGTCTGGTTGCCGAAGCTGTAGGCTCTCTAGTTTTAGCTGGACTTCTGCTGCGGGAATATATATTTGATTTTCCTGAGTTGCATAGACTGCGATATAGCTTAGAATAGTGCGCGAGTTGAGGCGTAGCTGGTGTGGGGGGAGAGAGGGGAACCGCTTCATTGGTCATGGTGAACTGGAGAAGTGAAGCCGAATGATAGCCTCCGACGGTGCGGATGGATGAGTTCTATCATGTAGAGTTGGGTGTCAATGTGTTTTGCGGATTTAATTTTTGGAGAGTCAGAGGATAGATGGGCACCGGATGTTTTCGGCAATTAAGTGCTGCCATTTTTCGCGCGAGGAGATCGGTCACGGCCTAGATTATGTTCGTTGTGAATCCAAATTTGCTTAGGGAAAGGGTCAGTTCTGTTTAGAATCTAATAACGGTGTCGTGTTCGTGAAAAGGTTGTTGGTGCACTTGCAAGCTTATAGTTGGAACAATGGAATTGGTGATTGATGTGGCATGTGCGAAGCTTGGCATATGAAGCCCAGCTGTATTTGGTAAACTAAATTCTTCATGATCATGGTGCTAGTGCTTTGATGTGAGTAATGCAGGGAATTGGGTTTAGTTGGTTGAATTTTCAGGTTTTACATATTCTTGGATGGTTAATCCAAAGATCTTAATTGCAGCATTATCAGCAGCTTGTCTTTTTCCTTAAGCAGATAATATGCCGCTTTGTCCAGGTTCGGCAATGAAATGACTACAATCTTTGTGGTTACATGCGAGTGTCTATATTGTCAAATGCTTGAAAGGGTCGTGGGTTATATTATAATGTCAAACCATATGTCACTCCTGAATCTTGTTCATTGTACATTATCTTGTCCCGTCGGTTGAATTCGATGTCCCCTCAACAAAATGCGAACAAGAAATTGGTCTATTGTCTCGGCAACTCTAGTGATTCCTTGGGACAAAATAGTATTGCCTTCTATCTAAGCACATACTCAAAAACATTTGGATTCGAGGGGGGTTGCTATTTCATTTCAGATGCGCTTAGGTCATGCTCGAGTACTTCCCTGTTTGAGGTTTTCCTAATTTGTTTTGCACAATTCCAAAAGTACTAGTAAAAAAGGAAAACATGTTGCTCATATAGTTGCATTTAATCCATATGCGCTATGTCCGTTGTCTGATGCAAAATATGTTCTATTCAGCTGAAAGGAGTTGTATACTTGAAAGATTTAAAATCTGGCTAGTTGCTTGAAGCAACTAGAAATCGTTGGAATTTTGACAATTTATTAGAGCTTTCGTAAATCTTCATTGGCAAATCTTCTACTTCAAATATTACGAAAGCTCTAATAAATTGCCAAAATCTTGAAAGGTTTTACATATTCTTGGATGGTTAATCTAAAGAGATGAAGAAGCAACTTGCTTCTTCATCACTTCTTTGGTGCAAGTTTCTTGAAGTGATAACTTCTCCATTGGTTTCTGCTTTGTAAGTCTTGCCACCGGGTACTCAAAATTTGGAATTTGGTTTTTTCAGTTCATTAGCCAAGATTAGGAGTGAGGTCCTGTCTCCTTTCCGGTCTGTGCGGATGTTCTTCTACCTTGCTTTCGTTGCCAGTGGTGCTCTTGGAGGTTTGATTGCCACTACACAACTAATTGCTGCTCTGACAAACTCCGCTAAAGCTGATGCAGTACCTGAAATTTTCAAAGGTCTTCTCATAGACATTGGGGCTGTTTCTATATTTGCATTTCTCTATTATCGGGAGAACAATGCTAAGAATGCCCAAGTGGCTAGACTCACTAGAGAGGAAAACCTTTCAAATCTGAAGCTCCGTGTAGATGAAAGGAGAATCATTTCTCTAAGCTCTTTGAGAGGACTTGCTCGTCTCGTGATCTGTGCTGGCCCAGTGTCCTTTATTACAGAGTCCTTTAAACTTAGTGAACCTTATACTGAGAGTCTTTTGGATCGAGGGGTGCTTGTAGTGCCTTTTGCCACAGATGGGAATTCACCTACTTTTGAGTTTGACGAGAGTGAGGAGATGAAAGAGATTACCAACAAAAGGAAGAGGCTTTGGCAGTTAGCTCCTGTTTATGTCTCTGAGTGGACCAAGTAAGAGTATGATTTTGGTAAACATAAAAGATAGCGTCACTACTCTCTGTTCCTTCCCCATTCTCTGCCGATATCTCTCTGACTTCTTATTTTTGTTGATCCACAGGTGGTTAGATCAACAGAAGAAACTTGCTGGTGTTTCTCCTGATTCTCCAGTGTAAGTGGAGGCATGTTAATCAACAATTATTGTCTGATAGATTCAATAAGCATATATAGTGACCTCGATTAGTGCAAAGCTTGCAACCAAGCCTTACCGTTTATTCTGTTCTCCATGTTTAATCATGTCAATTTTGCATAATCAAATTATTAGAGCTTTCGTAATATTTGAAGTAGAAGATTTTGGTAAAGGACGCATCTCATGTAGATTCACCGTATCAAGTGGTATGCATGCTTCAGAGGTAGTTGATCTACTTCAGAGAGTAAATTTTTTTTAAATATCTGTTTGCTCATGTCCCTTTTGCAGGTATTTATCTCTACGCATGGACGGTCGTGTTCGTGGTAGTGGTGTTGGTTACCCTCCTTGGAATGCCTTTGTTGTCCAGCTCCCTCCTGTCAAGGGAATGTGGTCTGGACTACTTGATGGCATGGATGGAAGGGTTCTTTAGCGTGCATAGCGATGACAGATTTTTTTGTAGTTGAAGGATATTTTCCTTTTTGAAGCTTTAATTCCTTCCCACTCCAACTCTTCATGCTGCATACATCCAACGAAGGGATGAAGGTAGATGATAAGTGACACTAATCTCTGTGTTTAAACCTCAGCCAGTGTATCACGCATTTGTGCAGCTATAAGTTTCCCTGTTCCGTTCACACTGCAAAATTGAGGCTGCTTCAAGAACGTATATGAAACAGATGATAGATAAATGAAGATCATTCTTTTGCATGCTGTCTTGTTGTTCTCCCTCTCTTAGCATGCAATCGTGTATATTTACGAATTAGTATCATAGTTTTTGCATCTTATATTGATGGGCATTGTTTATTTATCTGCTGTACCAATATAGTTCTTTTGATACCTATATAATCCGTATAGTTTGTAATTTCCTCGTAGGAACAATTTCTATCTCTGTTTCCTTATACAAGTTTTCTTCCTTTAATTTCTGTTGATCTTTGTTTGCTTTATGTTGACAATTAGGTTAAGACAGTCTAGGTGTCCAAGGCCTGTTCTTTGTTAGATATTTCCATGGCCTTTAATAAATCAAATTGAATCAGCGGACTTACAAGGTCCTCTGAGATGCTAGAATATTGTTACATCCTTTTGTCTGATCCTCTAAAATCGTGGAACTTTAAGATTACACTTCCGGACTAGTATAGGTAAACTCCTCTTTATTATGCTTTACCACAATGATACGTCTTCAATCAGGAGAATTTTCTTTGAGAGTACCGTCTAAAACTAAAGATGTGCTATAGTTCCACAAGATTACTGTCCACAGATTGAGTATATTGTCTAGGGACATTTATTCAAGACGGTATCCTATTGTGTCTTTAACTTAAATGCCGCAAATTCAGTGATCTAAAACTATTAAGGACCGATTTCCTGGGGAATGAAGTTGCAGGATATAAGATCCTTTATAATTTAACCTTCAGTCCCTTTGAGAATTTTGGGAACTTGCGTCTTGAAATGTGGCTGATGAAGATGACTTATACTTAGCCAAGCTATGATCCCTGCTTCTCTGTCTATAACACTCTCTTTAAAATTATAAAGGCTTTAAATTACTGAATTTCCTACATGTTGGAGTGATTTTGCGAACGAGATAGCATTTGATAAGTTACTTGCAGTCAATCTCATTAAAAATAACTTTCTCCAATTTGACTTGGAGATTGGTACTTGCTCTTTTCTAAATGTCAGTAGTCAGTCACTCACACAAGCTCTTCATCCACTTAGGCCTTGGGTGAGGCACACATTCCATACACGCCTGTATTTTCTAACCATGCATATTAAACAAGGAACTTGGAGTGCATGATGGCGTCATATACGATTTTTTGAAATTTACACAGTTTTTCTTCAATCCATTTTCTGTTAGAAGAATGAACTGAATGCATCTTCATTGTGTCGGACGACTTAAGTAAAGATCATTCATCCTATGTATCTGATTGACATTGTTCACTTATATCTGCGTGACTAACTACAGGAAGGAAAGATGGGGTGTCAGCACAAAAACTGAACAAGGAAGATATGAAGCTGTGGTTTATGCTACCTAAGTGTTGTACATGCCATTTCAAGTTACTGACTTTCTGCACTTGAGACTTGACAGAGCAGGGAAAAAGGCTAGGACAACTGAAGAGAGTAGGGCAGTGAGAAAATTCTATGTTCTACATGCTACACCACCAGTACGAGGGTAAACCAGGTATGTGTCACATTGTTTGAATTCCGTATATGTTCATCATGTGGTTTCGCATAAGTTATTAAACACTTGCGAAGGGGAAAAATGATCATGCGAGAAAATGCTCAGGCATATGATACAGATTACAGGATAAGTTGGGGAGACTGAAAATAGTTTGCAAGAACTACAACTGCAGCGACCTCAGTGCTCATTAAATTTCTTGGATCTCATCCAATGCATAGTTGTTTGTAGATACATTTGCATAATTGACCTTGTTGAAACGAACCACGACCGGATAGCACGTCTTCGGGTCCTGCTTGGATGAAACCGATACAGAAAATTAACAAGGCAGATAACGGCGAAAGGGGGTGCAGTAATGGGGATGATGAAGATGGATGTTACCTGGTCAACAGCAACTACAGAGCCAATTCCATTATACCAGTACGACTCCTTCCTGAGAATCTTTACCTGTGGATGAAAATATGCGGAAGAAATGTTGAACTTGTCCTCAGAAAAGCAGTAAGGCTTACACTCTTATCTTTTCATGTTGACTAGATACTTTCAAAAGCTGGAAACGAAATGCCTCTCTTATAAAATAGATGCAAAAGTGAGCATCTCCAACGGTCATGTCAGTTATTTAATCCTAGTTTTACTTCAATGAATATAGCGTGCTTGATTGCTTTACGATCATTGATTGATTCCCTAGGAGGAGGCACTTGAGAAAGATGCTACCTTGTAATTTGTAATCAATACATAACCGTGTGCTTTTATCCTAGTGATATCAGGGAACAGAGCATGCTCATACCTTGATTCAATCGAAGAAGTGAATTGCAAGACTCACCTTGGTTCCTCTCTTGGGTCCAATTGGGGGTGGCTTGGCCTTTGGAGCTTCTGCTGCTGCTGTAGCCGTGGTGGTTGCCACCGGAGCCGCCGCTTCTTCTGCCGCTCTCACCACTAGCCTAGAAGTGTTATTGTTCTTTGCAAAGAACACCATGTTGCTCTTAGCGGATGAGTTCCCATTGGTTGGGGTGTTGGGTGTGAGCACAAACCCAGAAGCAGCTGAAGCCATGCTGCAGCTAGCCATCCTTGTGTACGTGGGTATCTCTCCCTCTCTCTCAGTGTCGAGAAAAAAACAGCTGAGTAAAGTAACAGAGGACCAAGATTGAGAGAGGCTTTGAATGAAGTGGGCTTGTGTGATCTTAAGGAGAGAGAAAGTGAGAGCGAGAATCATCTGATCTTTGATGATTCCTTTTCCAAAATCTTCGCTTCCACTGGGGTTGTGCCACGTAGGCACCATATCCTCTTTCTGTGGATAACACGTTTTCTAAATCAGCCTTTGCATATCTGTGTTCAAATGCAAACAAGAGTGCTAATTTCTTCATGTCTATTTTTCCTGGAATGGAGAATAATTATTCTCGACATTCATTCTACTGCTTATAAGATGAGCAGTGATAGTCACATAATACAACATTATGTTGGTTCCATCACTTTAATATCTTCCTTAATACAGTTTAATATGAATTTCATTATGTTTATAATGGCGAGCGGGTGTGGATTAAACTTCGAGGCCCAATAGTTTAATCGGGCCTCGCCCACTTTTCGATTAGGCACCAATGCAAGTGTTCTTATGTTACCATATGGAAAATCTGGAAGAGCTTTACAGAAGCTTTTCCTTGTAGCTGCTGAACAAAACTGTGGCTGAATCTTCCCAAAACCACTGGTCCAGCAAGATAGCTCCGCCTGCGTTACCCCCGGGTAATGGCCCGAGGCAGTTGTTCTTTTCGAATGAAATTGCAGCATAGTGAGATCTAAACGGACTTGCACAGTTCCGCACTCCGATTCCACAAGAGTCGCTCTCAACAGCGAAGACATCGATGTAGGGCCGGCCTTAAGCCATTCCGACCGGCCTTAAGCCATTCCCAATTCCTCCGACGCCCGAAAGGTCAGGCCTATTGTTGCCTATCTAATTTCGCCATTCGACCAGATTGAGAACTCACGCCAACAAAATGTCAACGCAATCCCAAAGATGCAGCCGACCCTGTTCATGCAAGAGCCTGCATTCTGCATTTACTTTGACCTTGGAGTAGCTCAACCACTCCACAGTATTCTACACAGCCCACTAGTGAAAAATCGTGTGATTTCTTTCATTATTTTAATTTTCGAGACAGGTCGACATTGGCTATGAGAAAATACATTCAACAAATTCTTTTTTAATGAAAAGTTAATCCAAAAAAATTGAGCTCATATTACGCTACAACAAGTCGTCCACGACCACATTTCATGGTGCCTCTTCGTCGCGCATGTGGGAATGCCTCCTGTCGTTTTCCCTCGTCAAACGAAGGGATTCAATATGACAACGTTGAACCATCTTAAACAAAGTTTTATACATTAAACAAGAAGTGATTAGGATTAGAGTGTAAAAGTGGAACATAATTATGAGTTCTTGTCGTTCCAGGGGATAAGGATTCTCGATAGAACGGGAATCTCTTGTTGGTGGGGGAGGGTGGTGAGGCTAGGAGGCCTACGCTTTGTCGTTTTGCTCACCCACATAAGACAAAAGGTACTTTGGACATAAAACTATATGAAACGGCACGTCGTGCGTAGATGAGGAGTTCTTTTTTTAATTTTCTTTTTTTTGGGAAGGATGTTTTATAAGTCATATTAATTAATTGATTGTTGGGGGTGGCTGCAGTAGCTTGAGTTTGACGATGGATTAGGCGCACCTTGGTTTTGCGAAAAATGAATAAATTAAAAAGTATTTTCATCGTTTTAAGAAAATAATTAGATATAAATTATTATTTATTTTTAAGAAAATATTTTTCTAATCATTTATTTTCCGTGAGTCCAAAGAAAGATTTACAATGTTGCCTATAGATACGCATTTCGGACATCATTACTCTCTCTACTTTCCCTTGTGCAATGCCGATTTTCAATCTTAATGTGTAAATTGAATGTATGACTATTGCGTAGCACATGGTAGATGGTAGGTACATCTCTATTCATGCAACACTAGAGAATCTTTTAACGTCTCTAGAAGATGCCACGTGTCCACATGATATCTGCCCGTCAAAATCCTCGATACCCGATATATTTCGGGCTCCCATGACAACAATCACCACACGCGAAAATTCCTTTTTTTCTCTTCGTACGATTATCGCCGCAGTTAATAAATTGATTAATTTACAGGTACTCTATACTCTATACTCGTACTTCAACTCGTCGCTTGACAAGACTACCGATTATATTCTGGGAAAGTACGCTTGCTTACTACTTACGACATGTAATTATCGATTTAAACGAGTAGCCTCTCCAACTCTTTTTTTTTCTAATTAGAAAAGTTTCCGTCCAAAAAGGATTTTCTTTTACCCGATGCTTATTCGTTACACAACTATTGATCCTGAAAAAAAAGAAAGAAAGAACGAGAAAAAAAAAGGAGGGCTGAAATAATAGATAATTATATAGATTGAGTGGGACTATACAGATGGGTAAAAAGCTGGGGGGTGGTGATAACGGAATAAAATAAACAGTGCCGTTTGTCCCCAAGTTCGACGTCGAGCCAGTGGACAAAAAGCGACACTCATTTCTTACTTCTTCCTCTTCCTCCTCCTCCTCTCTCTCTCTCTCTCTCTCTCTCTCTCTGCATCCGCATCCGCTCCGAAACGCAGCGCGCGCTGCAGATTGCAGCGGATCTCGGGAGGCTTCCTTGGCTCGGCCTCGCTCCGGCCGCATCCCCGCCGTGATGCCCTGCTCCGGCCGCCGGAATCCACCGCTCCCTCCCTTAAGGTCTCGCTCTCTCTCTCTCTCTCTCTCTAGTGGAAAGTAGCTTCTCCGTACCTGACGACCTTTACGACTTTCGGTGCCTTCTCGATCTCGCTTTTTTGCCCCCCCACCAAAAAAGCTGCCGTCTCCTTTCCCCGTGCATCTGTGTGTGCGCGTGTGTGTGCAGGCATTTGTGTGATTCGTGGCTCAGTTTGCGTACGTGCTGGAATTGCAAGTTTTTCTTAGTGCTCTTGTTCGTGATTTGGTTAATTTTACTTAGTTTCGCCTGCCTGAGCTCCTTTCTTTGGCCTTGCCCTTTTCGATTTTTTCAATGCAGTTTCTCTAGCTGCATTGGCTGCGGCTGCGGCTGTTGTGTGTGTGTGTGTGTGTGTGTTTTTTCTTTTGCCCCCTCTGGAAGGATTTCTGGGTTTAGGTCGAAATCTGCTTTTGTGCATTGATTGGCGTTGAATTTTGGGGCTTTTGAGCGTTGTGCAGTGATTATTCCTGTCTTCTCTGTCGAGTGAACCGAGGTGAATCCAGGTACGTACTTTGAGGTTCTAATTTGGGAAGTGAAACTGATTTGGTGTTAGTTTGTGCCAGTCTTTCTTGAATTGAAGCTGCTAGGAATTAGTACAGGGCATGATGCTGACTCTGTTGTGGTAGTACCCGCGACCGACGTGTTGAAACATCTGTAAACATGGGGATCGTCTGTGTCGTCTCTTGTGCCAAGATGAGGATGCCTTTGCTTGCTACCCAGTAATCTCTTTTTACTGGGCCTGACACTTTTGCAAGTTTTTCCTGTCTCTATAATGAGGATTGCTGGAGTTGCCATTCTCCCAAGTGGAATATCTGTTTCTCTTGTCCCTTTGTTCCTGTCTCAATATCATACGCCGCCATGCTTTTGCTTTGACTTGCCTATGAAGCTGGGTTTTCCCCTCTTCCTCTATTTCAGCAATCTTTCTGTGGATTTGGTCCATTTCATTCAATGGGCCGTTTTGATTTAAGTCCCTCTTTTCTTTCATAATCATGTCGCAGGTGTTGAGATGGATAGAGCTCGGAATGATAAAGCTCAAGGCACTGAGAAACAATTTCCAGGATGCCTGGGAAGAATGGTGAACCTTTTTGATCTAAGCGCAGGAGCAGCTTCGAAGAAGCGTCTCACGTATAAACCACATTTTGATGGTGTGCACTGCACCTCTTGGCCTTTGTCAGATACCTGTTGTGCTTGAGAACTCCAAGCATTGCCAATAATTATGCTTCAGTGAATCTCTGATTTTGTTGGATAGTTTTCCGTTCATATGAGTTTCTTTTTGCTTGAATCATGTATTTATTGGCTTGCGCCAATTTTAATTTGTTTAATTACTCTCTCATAGACCGTACCTGTACCTCCCTTCTAATGATTCTCTTTGTCCTTTGTAGACATTACAGATTCTTCTATTTATACCTATCGACTCATGGTTGACCCCTTTCTGGGTTTTTACCCTTTGGTGGCTTCAATTAGGTGTAAAAGTCTGTAGATGCCTACTTTGTGCCCCTTTTCTTTTGCTCACGGCCAAATTCACATAGATTCCATTTAATCTGCCGTCTTTTGTAGTGTTCATCCTTCCTACTTCTTGTCTAATGTATATCTTGGTAATGTAAGATAACCATGTTTGACATAAAGTTGTCACTTTGCAGATCCTTCACTCGCAAGGAGTCAACCAGACGTGCCAAGAATTTCAAGTCCATCTCGTCGAAATGACATAGAGGAAAAAATGGTAAGTCATTCAAATGTATATTAGTTAGTTTGATTAGTTTAATCTGATAGTAGAGATAGGAAGACAATTCCCCAACCCCACCCGAAAAGGGAAAATAAAACTTGCAACATACTCGATACATGTTCCAATTTTCACGGCCTGATTAATGTAGAGAGAAAACAGCACGTAGGGCATACACAACAAAGGATTGAAAATTATGTCCTTACTGGTCCTGCCTTTTCTGGGACTGCAGATCACCTTGAACTCGAGGAGAAGTTCACCTAACAGACAACCAAACTCCACGCCCATGAAGATGTTAATTGAACAAGAAATGTCTCGAGAAATGGAGTCTAAGCACGGTTCGCCTAATGTAGTGGCGAAGTTGATGGGCTTTGATGGCCTTCCACGTCAAAATCCTGATTCAATTGCATTTGTAAGCCCATCGAGAGACTACTTGTCGCCTTGTTTAATTCCACAAGAAATATCACGTCAAAGTTGGCTTGAAGAAGATACATCTGTGCATGAGCAGATGAAGGATGCATCTTTAAATTACCGAGAGATTGATGATTACAAAGACATTTATGAAGTAGAAAAGATATCTCAGAAGACAAATTCTGCAAGGGAAATATCACCACATATGGGAAGGTTTGGTGGAAAAGGAAGAGAGAACAGAAGGATGTTCCTTCAGCAGAAGTCCATGGAAGCAAAATGCCAAGCAACTAATGAAAAATTTAACCAGTCAA